CTACCCTAGGACAACAACCAAACGAGGAGCATGAAATAAGGCTAAATCAGTCATTCGAGGGCTATATGATCCTAATCGTATATAATTTTTAAAGCATACACTTAGCAATCACTTTTACCAATATGGATTCCAAATCTAGCATATCATACAATTCTTGTAGACGATGAGGCATCACATATTAGGCAAATATATCATGCATTTCCGCAAGGTATCCATAGCTTTATCCTAGTATTCAAACATTTATATCATATAAAATATCAATATGTATAAGTATTCTGGGAATCATGTACTGGAGCTCGAATGATTGCACACATCGCACCCATTTTTACTTAGTAAATATATTTTTAGAAGTTCAAATTCAATTTTCTTTTAAAGATTATCATTTCCTCAGTTTGAGTTCTGACACACCCGAAAGTGTGGCCGAATCTTTCAAACCAAGGCTCTAATACCAACTTGTAACGTCCCAAAAATTCATAATAGAAATTTTGTTTTTAAAGCAGTAATCCATATAAACAAGTTGTTCCAAAAAAATCAAGTAAATATATTATATATAAACATCAGCATAAATATTATAAACGTGAAAAACTCTAGGGGATTTTGTGCAGTCACGCCAGGCCCTTCCTTTTCGAACCGGAAGTACCTGAAACCATAACCATAACAATATAAGCACAAAGCTTAGTGAGATCTCCAGAATACCACATACCATACATATCCATGGGCCTATCCCTGAGGTATATTCCAACCTAAAAAGCAAATATGGGCCTCGCCCTAGAGCCTCGCTCTAGGTTTATTTCAACCCGATCACTAAATATGATAATTGTAATGTCGAGGGCTAGATCCCGATCTTACATACATGTGCCATGGGCTACCACTATGGTTATTCCTTGTAATATCGAGGGACAAATCCTGGTTTTACATACAAGGGCCATGGGTCACCCCTATGGTATTTCATGCAAGTATAACAAAAACAACTAACATTTTATAATACAATTCCTAGTAGGATGACATTGGCTCCTTCGACCCACATGTAGAGTGAGGAGACTCACCTCATGGATAGATGAGAAACTGAAACAACACGCTGCTCCGAAATCAACTCTACCAGTCACGTTTATGAATATAGTGACCAAAACTAAGAATATAGATAAAATACCCAAAATACCCCTAGGTCAAACTTTAGATAAAATCCAGGCCAAAATCAATAGTTAAAATTCAACCCAACTAGCCACCACATCGTGGCCTCCTTGGCCACAACATGGTCGCAAACCGCCAAGACAAACAGGTCTTGACCAAGTTACCACATCGTAGTGACCTCAACTACGCCGTGTAATGCGTCTCAACATCTTAACCAATTAACTCTTTCTTCCCTCAACTACAAAACTCCAAGGCTGAGATCTAGTCCTTCCTATGGTCTTGATGGGTAAAGTTTCCAACATTAACCATAAGACCCTTCTATAAGCCAAACTTCCAAACCAACCACCAACAGTGACTTAATCATCAAGACTCTCATTAAGCACCAAATACTTAGAGTTGCACCTCCAAAGTTCAAGAAAAATTTCACACTCCAAAGGGACCTTAAAAATCATGGCTTTTTGGACTTGCATGTCCAAAACATGCCTTTTCCATTTTAGGTAAAAAATAAATTTTAATGACCAAAATCCCATGCATGACATCAATACTTGATTATAATTCAGATACAAGACACTAAATATTCCATTTGACCTGGACATTAATAAAGTTGGAAACTTTATGAGATCTCATCGCTTAAGTCCATCAAAATCATGGAAAAAGGGGAAAAAACACGAGGTCTAGCAACATGGAAAGAAAAAGGTTGAGTCTTGGGAACTTACCAAGTTCCAAGAGATAAGCTTAGTTGAAGAAATGATGCTTGCCAACTAACCAACCCACTGATAGCTTCCTTTTCCTTCTAAAATCACCAAATAGCACCAAGAATGGGCTCACAACTCAAGTGGAGGCCGAGGTTAGGGTTTCTGAGGTGAAAGGAGATTTGGAGGCTAATGATGAACCCTAAAATGGGTTAGAGAGGCTAACGATTGAATACAACACCGTGGTGACCTACACCACATCGTGGCGTTCCAAATGTCATGCAACCAAATTGGACGGTTCCTCCACCACTTCGTGGTCAGTGCAAAAAATCACCAAACATCAAAAGAACTGAATCACGAGAATCCAGGTGTTACAATATGTATATATATATATATATATATATATATATATATATATATATATATAATTGATTAGACATGTAGAGAAATCAAGATGCTTTAAATTCAAAGGCTTTTTTATTTAACCTCCAAAAAATACAAGGTAAAAATTTCACTTTTAAAACAACCAAAAACCAATATTCATTCATTTCAAATAAAAGATAATCAAAGTATGATAATGTGTCTTTAAACATCAATGATAAAACAAAAGATAGTACGTAATCAAATTTAGGGTGTGCAATGCAATCATGTCGATCTCTTCCCTTTTGAATTGGAATTACCTTAAACATTTAAACACAAAATCATAAGAACAAAGCTTAGTAAGTTTCCCTCAAAATACTGTATACAAAAAAAAGAATGGGACTAGCCCAACATATACGCTTTAGGCCGGACTCATTCATTCGGGCCCAACCCATATAATCGTTACCAACCTATATAATTCGGACCCACCAATATAAATGAGCCCATCTTGTCTAAAACAAAAAATACACATGAAAGAGTCACACAAACAGTCTAGCATCGTATAGTACTCTAAGAAGACTCACCTCACAATGTAACTCAACAGTCAACAAGCTCTCAAACTCTCGACATAGGTGCTAAATGCCACCTATATAACAACGCAAGGAAAAACCCTTTGCTTTCCATTTTGAAACTAGTAAATTGACTAAAGTGCACAAGTCAAAAGTCAATCATCGATGTCAACGGTCAAAGTCAAAATCAATAACAGGTGACCTCCATGTCATGGCCATCCTTAAGCCACGTCATAGTCCATGGGTCTAAACCTGATTAGAATCCAAATTAGACAAGTCAATATGGCCTTAGCCGATCTCCATGTCATGGTCTTTCATTAGCCACGTCATATAATAATAATGATAAAGCAATCGATCCACCCCCAATCGCCACACTGTAGCGACTAAATGCCACACCATGGGAACTAGGTTATAAACAACTTGATGGATTAAGTTGTTTCCTTCAAATCCTAGAGCTTCACTGTTCATATATGGTCTATCCAATGGTCCAGATGGATAAAGTTTCCAACTTTATCCATTAAGACCACTAAAGAGGTTAACATCTCAAACTGTAGGTTCCAAAAAGGCAAAACATGACATGGACTCAACCATTAAGCACTTATTCTTTAAATTCCTTAGTTCGTCTTCTCTAGAAGACTTTCTTACACGAAAAATAACATACAAGTTAGGGCTTTATATATATACATGTAAAATGCATGTCTTGACTTCATATTAGTTCAAAATATGGGTTTATGGGCAAAACTCATGCATGGATTCAAAACCCACTCTTACTTCAGATCCAAAGCATCAAACACGACAAATGTCCCAGAGATTCATAAATTTGCAACCTTTATGAGATCTCGCCACCCTACCTTCCTAAACATGAATAACATGGGACAAAACTAAATATCTAACAACCTAACATCATAAAGATTGAGTATTGGACACTTATAAAGGTTTATAAGTGTGCTTTAAGAAGGTATGGAAACATTCTTGCTGGATCTTGGCTTACTTCTTTCTTCTTTCTTCCTTTCAGAACTTCCAATAAAACTAAAAATGAGCTCAAAAAGGGAGCAAAAGGTTTTAGGGTTTTGTTTAGAGCAATAGGAGGTGATGGAGGCTGAGGGTGGGGGGAAAACCCTAGCCATCACTTCCTTTAATGTCACACCCCTGGAAGGTGGCGAAAGCATCGAGGGGTGATGATGGTATATAGATTACCCAAATTACATAGTACAAACTATAAATTCCTTTGATTAATAAATAATGTCTATTACATGGGATAAACAAAAAACCCTATCTATCTTCGAGATGCTTGTCCTTCCTTGTATTGATTTCTTCTCCCTCCTAGTAATACATACGATTTCGAAAACATCAACTTGATGCTTGTGAGTTCACAGGTTAACCGATATCGATAAAAATCTTTTTGAAAACTTTTTATGATCTTTGTTTATGAATAAGAGTATTTTACATTTATCAATTCCTAGGTTTTCCATTTCATATCTTCAAAATCCTTTTATTTATAAAAATTTATCTTTCAGGATGTATAGTCGATCCCAATATTTTATATCATTCTTCTTTCACTTTAAGGATATTTTTACTAATCCTAACTTGTTTTAATGTGCTTCTAAGATATTTTATGAATCCTAACTTATAAATATATTTCAAGGATATATTGTGAATCCTAACTTAAATACTTTATACGATATTTTACCAATCAAAATTTATTATAGAAAAAACATCATAAATGGTCCCTGTGTTTTTCTCAGATTCTGAAGTTTAGTCCCTGTGGTTTAAAAATCTCATAGATGGCCACTGTGCTTTCAAAACTTTTGACGATTGGTCCTTATGGCTAACTCCGTTAAGTTTTGTCTGTTAACTGAAGGGTAATTTCGTCATTTCACTACCACAGGGACCATTTATGATTTTATCTCTTATTTAAAAAAATATATGCAAATGGATCTCTCTCTCTCTCTCTCATGGTGGAAGAAGCGTTCACCCAAGGTGTTGTTTTTTGATAATCACCACAAGGGGAAGCCTCTTCTTCTATTCTTCTTGTCGAGGATCAAAAACCAAACACCCCACTTGCTATCCTATTTTCAATCAGCTTCATCCTCCCCTATTCTTCATGTTTTCTGTTGGACAGAAGAGAGATAGCCGAGAGCTACCAGAGTAGCCCGCGATGCCAAAACAATCAACGACAGCCCTACTGTCGCTTTCATTTTCTTCCTTCCTCAAGCAACCAAAGCACCGATTGTGCACTCCTTGATCGATGACTACTGCTGTTGCTTTTCTTCGATTGGGTCTTCGTTTTATAAAAATTGATTACTTTTTCCTAAATAGGTCTTTGTTTTATCAAATTAAAACCGACATAATTGGCGATTTGAAGCTACTTATCATGGATCTAGAAATTGGGTCTCGTCAAAATCATATAAGGGTAAGATCAGTATGTTTATATACTATAATTTGTTGATTTAGGGGTTCATCTGCGAAAACTATCTGCTTCTTTGAATTTCAAAATTAATTGCATTCATTTGGAATCTCATTGATGCCCAGAATCATCTTCCAAAAGGCAGCCATTAAATGTCAAGTACCTACGTGATTCTTGATTTCTATCGCTAGTGACGGAAGACCCCTGTGGTGGCTAGGGATTTTAACCCAGTTTGGAATGAGGTTTTGGAGTTTAATGTCAGAAAACCGGCAAATATGTTCACTGATATGCTTGAAGTTGATGTTATTCATGACAACACTCTTGGGATAATGCGCCGACATAATTTTCTAGGTAGAGTCCGCTTGAATTCATAGCAGTTTCTAAAGAAAGGGAGGAGGCTATGATTTATTATCCTTTGGAGAAGAAATTTTACTTTGTTGATGATGATGCTTTGTCGCCGGCACCACCATCTCCTCCTCAATTTGATAAGGTGAAGGTTGAGCCAAATTCAATGGAAGATGCTAAATCGAAAGTTGATGCTACCCCAAGATCTGATTCACAACCACCACCAGCATCGGAGGTGGCACCTACAAATGTTGCACCATAATCGAAGCATTGAGACATACACAATCAAAAATTAAAAGACATACACTCACATTCAATAATGAATAATATGAAGAAAAAGCAAGTTGAGACTTGGTTCAATGTATGTGTCGACGGTGATGGTGGTGGTTCAATTGTGTTCCGAAAAAAACTCAGGATCACATTCAAAGAAGACAGAAAGGTGTGTAGACCTAGTTTAAGAACATTCCAATTTTGTTTTTTGGGTTTTAAAGATAAGGTTTATGGGTTTGATTTTTTTTTTTTGGGTTTCGACCATGGATCAATTTTGTATAATTTCAAAACCGAGTTAATTTGTTGAAGAGCTCTTGGAGATGGGTGTCAAAGATGGTGAATTTGGTTGTGGAAATGATGATGATGAAAGTGTTTTAGAGAGAGAGAGAGACAGAGAGAGAGAGAGAGAGAAAGAGAGAGAGAGAGAGAGAGGACCTTTTATATATTAAATAATTATATTTATTTTTTTTACAAATAAGAAAAAATCATAAATGGTCCTTGTGGTAGTGAAATGATGAAAATACCCTTCAGTTAACAGACAAAACTTAACGGAGTTAGCCACAAGGACCAATCGTCAAAAGTTTTGAAAGCACAAGGACCATCTATGAGATTTTTAGACCACGGGGACTAAACTTCAGAATTTGGGAAAATACGGGGACCATTTATGATGTTTTTTCTTTATTATAGAAAAAACATCATAAATGGTCCCTATGTTTTCTCAGATTCTAAAGTTTAGTCCCTGTGGTTCAAAAATCTCATAGATGGTCACTGTGCTTTCAAAACTTTTGACGATTGGTCCTTGTGGCTAACTCCGTTAAGTTTTGTCTGTTAACTGAAGGGTAATTTCGTCATTTCACTACCATAGGGACCATTTATGATTTTTTCTCGTATTTAAAAAAATATATGCGAATGGATCTCTCTCTCTCTCTCTCTCATGGTGGAAGAAGCGTTCACCCAAGGTGTTGTTTTTTGATAATCACCACAAGGAAAAGCCTCTTCTACTCTTCTTCTTGTCGAGGATCAAAAACCAAACACCCCACCTGCTATGCTATTTTCAATCTGCTTCATCCTCCCCTATTCTTCGTGTTTTCTGTTGGACAGAAGAGAGTCAGTCCGCTGACTCGTCGAGTCCCTATGCTCTGAAAACTCTCATATCGCGACCCAACTCGCCGAGTCACCCCAAGAATCGCCGAGTCCCACGAACTCTGAGTCACCTCCTGTTCAACTCACCGAGTTGTCCCTCAACTCACCGATTCACAGCTCAACCAAAACGGTTAGGACTTCGCGACTAGACTCGAAGAGTCCAAGAACGGACTCGCCGAGTCCAAGGCAATCTTTAACAGACTTGCCGAGTACACCCATGTGACTCGCCGAGTGCCTCTAGTTCTTAATCCATACAGAGGCTTTCCAAGCCATGCAGGGTCTCTAATCCATAGATCTACTCTTATACAAGCCATCCATCATGTAAAATGGCAAACTTTACATTAATCGAAGGATATCTAAGCATAATACACTCTAGGCTAGGGTTTGGGACAAAAAGGCTTTATCAACAACTCTTGAACAGGGACTTTATGCTCTTTTGCATCATCACTACTCTAGATCTGAGGTAACAACCTCAGATCCAACCTCCAAACTCAAGATAGCACTAGGTATACTCCAAAAAATCCCACAAATGATAGATCTAGATGGATAACAACTCAAGCAACGAATTATTACCTCAAGAGAAGACTGCAACAGAAGAATAAGCCAAAACCTTGTAAATCCCCTTGCTCGAAGCCCCTTAATCTTCAAAGATCTCTTTAATAAACACTCCTTCAATATCCAAATACTCTCTAATTCTCTCACAAACGAATATTAGGGTTTCTGGACTTCAAGTGAGAGTAAAGAGGCTGGCGAGAGGGTATTATGTTCTTTATATAGGGATCAACCTCTAGGATTAGGGTTTTCTCCAAACAACACCAAGTCATCGAGTCCAGCCACCGACTCGTCGAGTTGGCCACTTAACACGCGACCAAAATCGCGACCCTACTCACCGAGTCTACCCATGGACTCGCCGAGTTAACCATCCACATTTTCACTTTGAAGCCTAAACTCGTACTCCTGAACTCGGGATGTTACAATTCCCCCCCACTTAAATTAGGCTTCGCCCTCAAAGCCTAAGGCAACACAAACTCCAGAAACTACTCTCGCAATGCACCACCTGGGATTAACCAAACCAGGTTCCCCAAAATACTACCACCGGAATCCGAAACCCAACTCTTCCCCTGCAGTGTCCTGACCACCGCCTCAAGCCGGCCACCGGCTTCATCCTCTGATAACCACGCTTATCAACCGAGTACCACTCCATGATACTTCACTCGTTCCAAATCACAACAATCACTTGACTCCTACGAGTTAGATATAACCCTAAACCACCGGAATCCTACCCGGTACCAGTTGTTGGGACTCATCCCGCTTCCCTTTCCGAATCCAATTCGTTCCTTCCCGAGCTGACAAGATGACTCATCCTTCAGCTCCTGAGCACTCCCAAGAGCTCTCTTTTGCAATCACATACAAATTCTGAATTTGATCTAACATCCTCGGGCTGGAAAACCCCACATACTGATGATACCTCTTGACATTCCCAGGGTGAATCACCGCCACATACGCGACCTCCTGATTACAACCATACCGAAAATCCAAGGCTCCATCCTTGCTTCCCTTCCGAACTCCTCTGGTACTATACCACCGTAAATTCATCCCCAACCTCAACAGACACCCAATCCGGATGTGCTCCCATACCACTTGTATTTCACAGTGCTTCAACAACCCTAATTGAAATACTTTCAATCCTCCATTCTCACTACTGCTTCCACTTCCATGAACCAACACTCCTTCCTGGAGTTACATATCTTTCCCTTTCCTTATCCATGGGAATCTACTTGCCAACCTCGCCGCTTCAGACGCGTTCCACGACGTACACACCCCATTCTACACTATCCCTTGTAGAGTAACCGCTACTCCGTGCATCGCACATGCTTTAAATCTACTCGCATGGACTCTCAAGTCCATGCACCGCCTCCCACTAACATGATCAATACCCGGGGCCAGACCTACTGGTTGCCGTTGCACCGCAGCATACTTAATCCATCTCCTCATATCGATCTATCAGCACCTACCAAGTCTTCAGCATAACTGTACCGCCTTACCAGGCCTTCAGCCAATCTGGACCACTCTCAGAACCTTCAGCATGTCTGGACCGCCCTCCAGGGACTTCAGCCTGTCAGGATCGTTCTCCGAGCCTTCGGCCTAACTGGTACGCCCACAGCTCTTCAGTCTCCCGGGACCGCTCAGACTATCGTATCTCATCCCAAACTATCCTTCTTGGGACTCTCTCCCGAACATACTATTCTATCCCTCTAGGTGTTCTGAACTCTAACTCCATTCTAATCTCGGAATCCTTTTCATGGCCTAACCTAGGCCTAACATCAAACACTATCTACCCTGACTCCATGGTCTGCTTCCTGCCCCCACTAGTCTGCCACTTACTCATACTAGCCCATACTCTTGGCTGACTGAAACACCACCGACTTCCAAACAGCTAGTCAAACTCAGATACTTGTCGATCCTCCTGAAAATTTTCCAACTCTCCCCCACTTAGAACACTGACCTCCAAATACCGGTGACTCATCAGGTCTAGAACAATCATCTCTATCCTATGCCTTCCTCATCCATAAACTGCATTCCTCTGAACGCGTAATTTTCATAAAACTGCTCTCCCGACATTGCACATCTCGAATCCCAAGGGAGTCCAACTCCTAGCTGAACACTTCTCACATCACGAATGCTATACCCAACAACAAGACCACCCAACCAATCATGACCATCCATCCCTTGGATACTAACCAGCTACAACTCCTAGCTATAAAACCCTCTACCAAAAGATAACCTAGACGAAAAGGCGAACATTACAACTCAATAAATCATGCAAACATGACTAGCATATACAATACTCCACAACAATCATAAGATAACAAGATATCAAAAAGGAAACATATCCGCAGCTGAATCCAGCTCTGCCCTGACCTCCTTTACTATAAGCTGAAAAGCATGCCCCTGAGCCCTCGGGGGCTCTACTCCACCCTGACCTCCACCTGAAATCCTCAAAGTAACCGATGCTGGAGCCTGCACCAGTCCTGCACCAAACTGTGGACAGTTGGCCCGCATGTGACCAACCTGATGACACTGATAGCAAATCCTCATATCCTAGATTGGGGCTGTCTGACGACAATCCCTTGCGTAATGCCCTATCTCCTGCACTTGCAGCATGCACCATCGGACCTACAAACTCCAGTGTGACCATTCCTGCACTTTCCATAAGTGCGGCTACTCTGATCTCCCGACCTAGTATCAACGGTCTTGGACCGTTTCGGTGTCGGCTGCGACTGTGCCAGGGCCTGCCTCTGCTCCCTCAACTGTAGCTCAATCTCTAACTCATGCTGCCGAGCGGCCTCCTGCAACTCCAGCAAAGTCTCGCACCTCTGCGTAAATACAAACTGCCTGATATCTCTCTTGAGCATACTCAGATATCGGGACATCTGAGCCTGCTCTGAAGCAAACTTTGGGCAAAACATCGACCTCTCAGTAAACATCCTGGTGATCTCCGTCACTGACTCTGTATCCTGCTTCAGTTCTAGGAACTCCTGGGCCAACCCCTCCCTCTCAACCCGTGGAACATAACGGGTACTGAACATTTCCCTAAACTGATCCCATGAAACCGCAGCCTGGTGCGCATCCAAATATGACCGCGTGGTCAATCTCCACCAATCCTTCCCCCCCGAGCCTCAACAGGTTCAGAGCACACCTCACTCTCTGATTAGCAGTGCATGAACATGTGAAGAAACACCCTTCCACGTCTGACAACCATCTCATAGCAACAATCGGGTCCTGAACTCCATCGAAGGTAGGGGGCTTCGTATTATCGAAGTCCCGATACTGAAAACCTCTACCGGC